CAACAGTGAATAAGGGTTCCAGTTTCTCCACAACCTCGCCAGCATTCCTTGTTTGCTGTTCTGTTAAATTTTGCTATTCTGACTGCGGTGAGATGATATCTCTTCGTTGTTTTGTATATGAAAACTTTTTAAAAAAGATACTGAAAATAAAAAGTAGTGATAATGAAACGACAGAAAAGAACTATTAAGTTTAAGGAATATGCAGAATTTAAGGCAGAATCATCAGAACAAAATCTCATTGTAAATGAAGGACTGACTACATCTAAAAGTATTGCTAGAAAATGTCAGAATTAGCAAAGCAAGCCAAAAGTATTGGTGCTGACAGATTGATTCTGAGTCATGGCATAATTAAAGTAAAACTGCTCTGTAGGATTTTTTGAAGACCTGCTATTTTAGAAGTAGATGACCAGTTGGAATTCCTGGTCTGTGTTACTCGGCAAGTCAGTCACCCAGTACAACAAATGCTATATGAGCTGACTAATAGTTGATCCTCCAGTGGGTTTTCAGAGGCATTAAATCACACAGGAGGAGACTGCCCATCCTTCTCCCACAGAGCAGCTGGTGGATTTGAGTTGGTAGTGTAACTCCTTACCACTAAGCCACCAGAGAGCTCCATCGTTCTATATAATGTTAAGGCAGTCTTTTACATTTCTGTAAGAAGGGAAATATCTGGGTCTTTGGGTTTTTTTATTTTGATAGATAATGCCAAATTACTTTTTATGAACAATTTAGAGTTGGAAGGAATGTTAATTTGAGGTTGAATATATGTTTCTTTTTTTTTTTTTTATTCCTGTGGATTTTATTTCACCTTCTTCAACTTTAGTTTGAACTTGCGTATGAAGTTGATGGTCTATTCTACAATCAGCACCTGGCCTAGTTTTCGACAGAAAACTCTGAAACTGAGTTTCTGCAGCGAGTCTTTCCACAGATGCAATTGATCTGATTACTGTGCATACCATCAGGTGAAATACATATATGTAGTCTGCCTTTATGTTACTTATAAAAGGTATTTACAAAGAATAAATAATTGATTGTACAGAATTCTATCATTCTGTCTGCAGCCTCATTTCTGTCACCAAGTCCATGTTTTCCAACTACTGATCCTTCTTTCCTGTTACCTACTTTGGCATTCCCACAATTATGAATGCATCTTGATTGCACATTCTATCAATTTCTGACTGCAAAAACTGGTAGAAATAATCTATTTCCTCCTTTTTGGCTCTGATTGTTAGTGCATATATTTGAATGATAGTGATATTCATTGAACTTCCTTGCATGTGAGTATTATCCTGTTATTCACAACATTGTGTTTTGAGATGGATCTAGAAATTACTTTTAAACTATGAAAGCAACTCTTTTTCCTCACCTTTTCATCTCTGGCATAGTAGATCATATGATTGTCTGATTCAAAATGTCCCATGCCAATGCATCTCATTTTACCAATACTAGTATGTCAATATTTATGCATTCCATTTCTTTCTTAACAATGTCCAGTTTTCCTACATTCATGCTTCTCACTTCCACGTTCTAATCACTAGTGTCTGCTTGAAACTGTTCCTCCTCCTTTGTGTTTCTATATTTGAGGGCTCAGTCTCAGTTGCCATTTCTGCTTGTCTAAGGGTGCTCTACTGTGCATAGGGTTTTCAAAGTCCTGTTATTTCAAAAGTGGATGGCCAATCCTTTTTGCTCAGCTTTAAAACAGAATGCTTTGGTAAGAAGCTGCACTGCAATCTCAGAGGTGCACGGTTCAAATCCACCAGATGCTCTGCTGCAGAAGGAGGGACAATTTCCTCCTGTACCAGTCAGATCTGATTTGACGGTACATGCTCAAAAAATAATAAAATAAAATTAACAGAGCAGAACACTTGATTGTGCATATGCAAAACCTATACTTGGACTAGGCGGCAGTTGTCAGAACAGAGAAAGGAAACACTGTTTGGTTCAAAATTAGGAAGGGGGTGTGTCAGGGATGCATCTGTCTCCAAACCTTTTCAATCTTTATGCAAAACAGATAATTTGGGGGGCTGGACTTTATGAGGAGGAGCATGGCATCAGCATTGGAGGTCATGCAGATGGTATGACCTTGTTTGCTGAAACTGAGGAGGACCTGAAGCATTTGCTGCAGAAGGTCAAGGGCTATACTCTTCAATATGGATTGAAGCTTAACATCAAGAAGACCAAGATTCTTCCTCTCTTGGACCCTCGCTTCCAACATGACAAAGAATAGGAGAAACAACAGTCGTGCCAAAAAGTGCCACCGCCACGTGCAGCCTACTCGCTGCACGAACTGTATCCAGTTCGTGCCCAAAGACAAGGCAATTAAGAAATTTGTAATTCAAAATATAGTAGAGGCAGCTGCTGTCAGGGACATTTCTGAAGCGGGTGTCTTCGACATATACGTGCTTCCAAAGGTCTGTGTGAAACTGCACTACTGTGTGAGTTGTGCCAATCACAGCAAGGTGGTGAGGAACTGTTCTTGTGAATCCCAGAAGGACTGAAAACCTCCACCTCGATTTAGAACTGCAGGTGCTGCCCCACAAGCACCACCAAAGCCCATGTAAGGATTTGATTCCATAGAGGTGGAAGAAAAAAACTAGTCTGAAAAGAAACAAACTGAAATTATACTTTAAAAAAAAAAAAAGACCAAGATTATCACTACTGGGCCAATTGGCGGAACCATAATGGATGGAGAAGAGATTTGAGGTTGTTAACAATTTTAGCTTGCATGGCTCCACAGTTAACACTCTTGGCACCAGCAGTCAGGTAATCAGAAAACAAATTGCATTTGGGAAGTCTGCTGTCGGGGACCTCTTCAAAGTGCTAAAGAGCAGTGACATCAGACTAGAGACTAAGGTGTGCCCGATACAGGCCATTATCTTTGCAATTGCTTGTTATGTGTGAGAGAGCTGGACAATGACGATGATAGAACAGGTGATGCCTTTGAGTCTTGGTGCTGGAGAAGATTATTGAACCACCAAATATTTCTGTCTTGAAGAGAGTGAAACCAAGTTTCTTCTTGGAGGCAAAGCTTTTGAAGCTCATCTCACTTACTTTGACCACAGGACCAGGAGAGATCATGTCCTTGGAGAAGGACATGCTTGGAACGGTGGAGGGACAGCACAAGAGAGGAAGACTCCAGATGTGATAGATTGACACAGTAACTGAGCTTGGGAATAGGTATCAGTGAGACTGTCTCAGGATAGGGTAGGGTTCAGAGCTACTTTACATAGGGTTGCTGTGAGTTGCGAGTAGGTAGATTACATATAGCAACAATATGTGTTTTATATCCTTAACTTAGTGGTCTTATCTCAGCACCACCTTTTTTATTTTTTAAACTAATTTACACCTTTTTAGTAGCCTCATGTATGTTATAAATATGCTTGTGTCTTCTCTGCGATTTATAGCCTCTAAAAAGGTAGCTTTGGTGATAAAGAGTTGTGCTGCCAACTCAAGGGTACGTGGCTTAAATCCACCAGCTGCTCTGCAGGATAAAGATTGTCAGTCTCCTCCCATGCAGTTTATTGCCTCTGAAAGCCCCCTGGAGGATCAGCTATAAATTGTTTTGACTTGACAGTTCATAACAACAACATAGAACCCAGTGGAGGGTCAGCTGAGTGGATTCTGACTCAATGGCAGTGAGTTGAGTTTTGATTTTATATGTGAAAACTAATCTTGTAAATTGATCCTTAGTCTGTGTTTGGGAAAGTAACTGTTGATTTAGGATTAAACATTTTTCCTTTGGCTTTTCTTACTTTTAGAAACTTTGATGATATAGGCTATAGGGACTTGCTGTGCTAACCCAAAGGCTTGCTTCTGACAGTTTGAATCCACGATCAACTCTGAGGGAACAAAATGGGCAGTCTTCTCCTGCATGATTTATAAGCTCAGAAACCCAACATCAGGAACCTACTGGAGGGTTAGCTGTGAGTCAGCTCTCATTCCACAGCAATGTTTGAGTCTTTAAATTGTACAATTGCCTCAAATTATATATATATTAGCCTTTAATTATTTTTACCCATTTATGTGATAGCATACTACTTCAAGATTGTATACATTAAATTGACTAGTCATCCCTGACCTACAATTGCATTTGTTCAGATGGCTCTGTCATTAAGTTGCACTGTTGGGCATTGGTTTGGTTTGGGGATTTTTGCTTTAGCAAACAACTCTACTCTCTCACAGATTGGGAGACTGGCATTCTAAATCTTAGGCCCCATCTCTCTTAGTTTCTGGAGGGAAGTCCCTGTTTTCTTCAGCACTTGCAATCTGATGGTCCTTCACGATTTATCTCTACCTGTGCTGGCTTTTCCACATCAACAGCTTCCCAGTTCTGGGACCCAGAGCCAAAGGATTTGCTTTTCTTCCAGTACTTCTGCTTGGTTCTAGGTTCCCCTGCAGTTTGCTCACTTCTATTTCCTTATGTCTCCTGAGACAAAAGGGGATAAGGGCCACAATGGGGGGAAACTCCCCTTATACCCAATTAGGGCTGTGACCTGAGTAAGGATACTGCATCCCACCCTTAATCATCCAAAACTGATCAAGAGGGAGAGACTTACATCTCTTCCACATCATTATATAAACAGACTTAGGAAAGACTCAATTCAATCCAGGAAGTAGCTCAAGAACAAGCATAACACCAGGTGTTTTAAACAGAAGTGCAAGGGAGCTCTGGTGGCCTAGTGGCAAGAAGGAGCATTGCAATTCCAGAGGTACATGGTTCAAATCCACTAGATGCTCTGCTAGAGAAGGAGGCACAGTCTCCTCCTCCTGTATCAGTCAGATCCAATTTGATGGTACACGCACAAAAAATAAGAAAATAAAAGTTTTTAAAAATTAATTTTATTAACTTTAATGAACATTTACATAGATTTTGGATTTCCATTCATTCATTGTTGCACTATTTTCTCTACCCCGCCCCCCCGTTCATTCCTCTCTCTTTTTTTCTCCCTTGAAAGTCTGTTTTAATTGTCCCATTGCCACAGTGCTTGTTTTAAAAAATAAAAAAAAGAAACAGAAGTACAGCTCTCTCCAAGTCTGTCTGTTGGATTGTGCCGGGTGTTGCTGTGAAGCTGGGAGTTTTTCCACCATTCATTTTTCAGTGGGTCTTTCAAGGTCACCCATGGTTATTAGGTGCTATTTTTTGTTTTCATTGTTATGGCAAGGAGCCTATGCTGTTAAACCAAAGACTCCTGATTTAAACCCATCAGCTGCTCCTTGGAAGAAAGATGGACCATCTTGCCCTCTGTAACTTACTGCCTTTGAAAACCCACTGGAGGGTCAGTCATGAGTTGGTTCTGACTTGATGGTATTTAACAACAACATATATAAGTATTGTTGTCTTTGTGAGTTGTAAATACTACATACAGACTTAGAGATACATCAGCATATTATGCACTACAGCTTGAATAAGATCTTAAAAAGTCCCAAACAGCCTCTTGGTTTTTAAATGCATCTCACTGGAACTTAAATATATCATAAGTTTGTAAGGGAACTGTCTATACTGTATTATATTGATATTACACATTTACATTTAAGCCCCTTTCATCTGTTCTATGACATGAAAAAGTAGCCGCTTCAAGCAATTTCTTTGGAATATATTTTTTAGATAATGAAATTCCTATTTGGAATCTTCACTTATGAAAGAATTAGGAAGATTGATAGATTGAATTGTGTTAATGTACTTGATTTACCCATGTAATCTCTGGAACATTATTGTTGGGTCAGTGCCAGGGTCATGGAAATAATATCATTTTTAAAATCTGTCTTCATTTAGTTTCTGCCCTTTCACATAAAGATTTACAGCCATAGAAATTTGAGGATCACTGTAAATAAACTCAGCACTTCCTATGTTCACTTGAGGCATATCTTTTAAGCCTTAGTTTCTTCATCTCTAAAATAGGGTTATAATTTCTCCTTTACCAGACTCATGGGTTTATTGCCATGGTTAAATAAATTTGAGTATTTAGGAAAAAGTATAGGGACTCTGGTGGCTTAGTGGTAAGGAATTGCACTGCCAGTCCAGAGACATGTGGTTTGAATCCACCAGCTGTTCCATGAGAGAAAAATGGGCAGTCTCCTCCTGTGTAATTTAATGTTTCTGAACACCCACTGAAACGTCAGCCATGAGTTGGTTCTGACTTGACATAACAGCAATAATAGGCGAAGTATATACAACATGGTCACTTTTTAAACATCCAGATATTTTAAATGATAGAATACTTTTGTGTGAACTTGTCTGACTTCCTAGTTACAACAAAAAATATTTATCTGTATTGTTGTCCTTTGGGTAGTTAACAGGTAGCAAGTACAATGTAGGTGAGCTATATGCTATTCTAAATGGTTTGTTATCAGATACTAAGTGAAATCAGGATAATTCTATGTTTACGTTACCTGCTGTGTGGTGAAGCATATATCTAGTGATTTCAGATCTGTTACTCCAGACATGCAGTGTCTGTCTGCAGATTATTTACAGCTGAGAAACTAACACAATGAGAATGGATGGACACTGCAGCTAGCATTTTACTTGTTCATATTGAGGGTAAGAGCTCTCAGACGTTAGCACATATCAGAATCAACCTGAAAAGCTTCCTAAACCACAGATTGCAGGGCCTCACCCCAAAGCCTTGAATGCAGTAAATCTATTGAGAGGCCTAGAATATGTGTCTGACAGGCTGCCAAGTAATGCTGCGGCTGCTGATCTGAGATTATGTACTGATTATTATACATGGTTATGCACTGTCATAATAATTTTAGAGAACAGTTATCCTTTATTATCCAAACTGATCCAGCTCCTAGCAAACTAGGATGTATAATTTTTATACTTTTACCAAGTGGAAGTCTTTTTTACAAAGAAGTTTGTATATTATGTTTTTGTGGATATCATGATAAGCTATATTTGTTAATATTCATTAAACCAACAACAAATGATTTGGACTTTTTTCTTGATCCTTGCACTTGTGAATATTAGTTAAAAAGAAAATGAATGTATATTTGATTTTTCACAGGTGGTATGTCTTAGCATGCTTTTGTCCTTGCTGTCAAGTCAGAAGGGATTTCTCCTAGGCTGTAAATTACATGGGGGGAGATTGCCTGCCTTTCTCCTGCAGAACTGATGGTGAATTAAACGATGCCAGAGATGTGCCATGCATTTTCTTTGGGTTAGTCACAGTTTCCTACTGCCTGTTGTAGTTATGTGGTGTGACATCTTGCCAACTACAACTCACTGTGACTCAGTGAACAGCAGATCTGAGCCCTACCCTATCCTGCACTATCCTCACAGTGTTTGGTGTACTTCAACCTATGTTATAGTCCTGAGTCAGTCCATCTTACTGAAGGTTTTCCTCTGACCCTCTACCTTTCCAGCACTTCTTTGTGAGAAAGATGGTCTCACCTCCTTGAACCATTTATACTCTGAAATGCAGTGGCTGGTCACT